TGCCATTGTGGTCCAGTGCTTCTGCGATCCAGTCCGTGATAGCTGATTATCGATTCGGGTTCTGTAATTCATACTGCGTGGTTGGTGTTCCGAGTCCGTGCGTACTACTGCTGCTAATACAATCATTACAAATTGGCGTCGCATGATGGAGCTCTCAACGTTTGAGCAACTGAACCTGCAAGCAGGTCCATCCGAGATCGAGGAATGGGTCGAACGATTCGAGCTGTGGTGCAGCATTCGCAAAGGTGGTACACAGAATCAGTCAGCTCTATTTTTACTGCTGGCAGCCGTGACCTCTACTCCCTGCTGAGAAACTTGGCGTTTCCTGAAGCTCCAGCCAAACTACCATACGAGTCCCTGAAATCGCTGCTGCTCAACCACCTGCTGCCCACTGAATTCCAAGCACATGAAAGGGCCAAATTCAACTCCATGGTTCGTTCCGATCATGTTTCCTGCCGTGAATTCATCCTGCAGCTGAACAAACAAGCATCACGCTGAAACTATGGTGATCGCCTGGAAGAACAAATGTGTGACCGCTTGGTGGCAGGCATCAATAATCTGACTCTTCAACGGACGTTGCTGAAGAAGAAAGATTTGACTTTTGCCCGTAAGATCTGTGAGCAACACGACGACTTGATGAAAGCTACTTCCAGCGAAGCAGTCACATTATTTCAACGATAGACGACACGACCGAACCGACCCCCAATGGCCAAGTGTACACCGAAGCTACAGCAAGACCCTTCCAGCAACGATAAAAGTATCAATCCTTGTTTGTCATGTGGAGCTTACCATCTGCGCTCCAATTGCCGCTTCCGAAATGCCAAGTGTCATGCATGCACGAAAACTGGCCACATTCGGAGAGTGTGTAAATAGCCCCGTTGCAATCTCGCACTGCCAACCGCATCGAATGACACAAATCTTGTGCTCTCTCTACGAACCGAAAGCCAACGCACCCAATTCCTATACACAGATGTGATATTACAGTCGGGCACAACGCACAGATTCATTGTTGACGCAGGAAGGACGGAATCTATCATTTCTATTGCTGTGCTTCGGTCAATCTGTCCCAAAGCTGAAATCCATCCGAATCCTTGGTGTGACTGGACACAAATTGCCATTGATTGATAAAGTTTCATTGATGGTACATTTGATAGAAAATCGCCTTGTTCCAATTCACTTCCTAATCGTCAAAAACAGTCCATCCGTACTTGGCCTAAACGCCATTCGTAAATTGAACCATTGTGTGTCGCTCCATTCAAGCTCTGTCCAATATGCACACCCATCTACAGCACCTGGTCGTGAAATGTTCCAATAATACGCTAGGTATGAACGTACAGCCGACCAAACTGGAAGTTGATGGTGAGCCCATTTTCCTGAAACGACGTGTACTTCCCTACGCCCAACGTGATGGTGTACTGCAGGCCCTTGAGAAAATGAATCGCGATGGCACATTACACGAATCATATCCAGTACGTGGGCGACGCCAATCATAATCGCAATCAAAAGTGACCGCAAAATACCGCGAATTTGTGGTGATTGCCGCTTAACACTCAACCCGCGGTTGCGAAAGTGTGCGGTTATGTGGTGATTGTGTATAAACTGAACATTCTTGTTTCATTACGTGATCGATTGCTTTGTACAATTTCGGCGCGTAATAGAAAACTGACTTCGAATATTCTGGAGTTCTATTCCATACTGCGTACTAGTTCGGTTGGAGCTTAATTGCGCGGATTATT